AGAGGAGGCGGGGAGAGGGTGAAGGCCGAAGGGGCAGAGAAGGGGGGGAAAAGACGAGGTACAGGGAGAAGGGCCAGGAACGGTGTCGGCGTGTCTGCGGTGCCCCGCTGGGTCCGGATGCTTGCCGATGCCGACCGCCTTGGACCACTCCAAGGCCTTGTGACAATGGTCGCCTACCACCGCGTTAACGCACGGCTCCTCCATCCTGGGGTCCTTGCTCTCGTCCGCGGCAAGCTTCGCCTGAAAGACGGCCGGATCTGCCACGCTCGCCTCCACCAGGTCGCCTGGGTGAACCGCGAGGTGGAACGCCGCGGTGGGGCCGCCAGACATGAACAGCAACACCACCCCGAAGACGAAGGGGCACGCCATAGTGAACTGCTGCGGGAGGCGGTACGGTAGCGAAGATGCGGTCCAATCCGAAGGATTGGGAGCACGACTGCCAAGACTCTTGACCAGCAGAGAAGGTACGGAGTGGGAGGTGGGTGGGATGGAGAGAGGACGGGGCGATTCCTCCTGAGGGGTCGGACATCGATAACGTTCCTGCCAGCCACGGCCCAAGATGGCCTCCAGACCAATGTGTGTGTGTGTGTGCGCGTGTGTGTGTGTATGAATGTACACGTGTGTGTGTGTGTGTGTGTGTGTGTGTGTGTGTGTGTGTGTGTGTGTGTGTGTATGTGTTTGTGTTTGTGTGTGTGTGTGTCTGTTGAAGGACTTGGGCGGTATCGCCTTTCCGAACTTTCGAAGCTCCAAGGCTGCCCACGAGGCCCGAAATACCGCCCCAAGGCGACCAGACGGCCCCAAGAGAGCTCCGAGACGGCCAAAGAGGGCCCCAAGATGGCACAGGAGGCCCCCAAGACGGCCCCAAGAGGGATACACATTCTGACATGTGGAGCCCTCCACCCCAAGATGGCCCCAAGATCCCCGCAGATGCCTCCGAGACGCCCTCAAGAGGCCTCCAGGAGGCACCCAAGATGCTCAGAACAGGTCCTAGGAGGCCCCCAAGGAGCTCCCAAGAGGCCCCCTAGTTCCCTCCAAGAGGGGCCCCCGACAAGCATCCCAAGAAACCCTACTTTGCATCCAGGAGTACTCTGACCCACAATCCCACTGGATCCGCCGCCACCTGTTGGCTTGCCGCAGGGGTGCCTGGCGTGCTAAATCCTAGACGGTTTTGGTTCTTCTAGAAATCGAAGACGCCTACAGCGAATCACCGCCGCCCCCTGCCATTTGAAATCGCCCATGTGGCCGAGTGTTGTGGCAAGAGCTCTGCCAAGCTATCGGGCCATGCATTCCCCAACCGTTGTCGAAACCCTTCGGGGAACACTTGGGGAGGATGGCGGGGAAGATCAAAATCAAGAGGAGGAAGAGGAGGAGGAGGAGGAGGAGGAGGAGGTGGATGAGGAGAGCTTCCTGGCAGCCTATTGGAAGCATCTTTGGGGCCTGCTTGGGCCTCTTGGGGGCCCCTCTTCTCGGGTGCCTCATCGGCCGTCTCAAACCATTCCTGGCCCGCCTGACGCTGTCGGAAGCCGTCTTGGGGGCCCTTTCTGGGCCGACTTGGAACCCTCTTGGGGTGCTCCAGGGCTGTCTTGGAGACCATCTTGGGCGTCTTGGAGGCCTCCTGGGCCGTCGTGTGGCCCTTCTGGGTCCGTCTTGGGGGCCTCTTGGGCCGTTCTGGGGCCATGCTGGAGGCCCTTCGGGCGATCTTTCGGGGCTCGTGGGCCGTCTCGGGCCGTCGGAAGGCCGAGAAGAAGCAAATGCCCAAACCCTTCAAACACCCAAGGAAAATCAATGATTTTGGCCTCTTCGGGCCTTCCTGGAGGCCCTCTTGGAGGCCTCTGGTTCCGTCTTGGCAACCTCTTCGGGTCTCTTGGCCCGTCTTGGGCCACCTTGGAGCCATCTTGGGCTGTCTTGGTGGGCTCTTGAAGCCGTCTTGGGGGCCTCTCTGGGCCGACTTGGAACCCTCTTGAGGTGCTCCAGGGCTGTCTTGGAGGCCATCCTGGGCGTCTTGGAGGCCTCTTGAGCCGTCGTGTGGCCCTTTGGGGGCCCCTTGGGCCATTCTGGGGCCATCCTGGAGGCCCTTCGGGCGATCCTTCGGGGCTCGTGGGCCGTCTCGGGCCGTCGGAAGGCCGAGAAGCAGCAAGTGCCCAAACCCTTGAACAGCCCGAGGGAAATCAATGATTTTTGCCTCTTCGGGCCCTCCTGGGAGCCCTCTTGGAGAGCTCTGCTAGGACAGTCCTGCACTCCGTCAGGCCTCCTGGAAGCCTTCCGCAACCCTGTTAAACTGTCTGGGCGCATCTCGAAACTCTGCTGGAGCTCTCTTGAAACATCTCGCAGCACCACCAACCAACAGTGATGCGAAACGGCCGGAGGAGTGAGCGAAGCGATCAAATAACGCCCCCCTGTCGCACCGCCAGACGTGTCCATAAGCTGGGCCAGGCGATTCGCGTAATGCTTCACTACGCATTCCTGCCCCGAAGCTAGAACATCGAGGAGATACACGGGTGGAGAGCCGGTCATGTTCGAAATGTTCAAGGGGCCCAAGGACACACATAAATACACACAAATAGCGAGATTCCCCATATTTTCCCCTATGTTCTGGGCTTCTGTCTTCCCCCCCACTTCCCACATGTTTTCCCACACTTCCTGGGGAATCGACGATGAATCGTGTCTGTCTGTGTGTGTTTTTCCCCTCCTGGAATGTGGCTCCCGCCACGGAGCCACGCACGCTCGTCTGGAGCGCTTGCAGCAGGCACGCGGGCGGAGGCCGCTGCGCTCTCGCCAGAAAGGGGGGGCCCTCGCCCGAGGCCTCCCTCCACGGGCAGCCACCACTGAATGGGCCCCCAGGACACACAAATGAAAACACACACAACCAACAATCTTCCCCATACATTCCCATATATTTTTTGGGGTTTCTGTCTTCCCCTCCACTTCTGCGTGTTTTTTGTTCCCCCTCCTGAGCCACGGCCGGCACGCCGCGCGGCACGTGCGCTGATGGAGGCCGGGCCTCCTTCAGGCTCGTGCCCTCCCCTGGTTCCTGTCTAATTCCTCCTCCTCCTCCTCCTCCTCCTCCTCCTCCTCTCTAATTTTGACGGGCAGAGATCCAAGCCGCCTGCAACACACGCACGACTGGAGAGCGGCTCCGCTCCGAAGCGGGGCTGCTGCCCAGCGCTCCCCCGAACTTTGAAACCGCACCCTGCGGGACCCTGCCGCAGTCCTGATAGCTTCGGCATAAACATGAACATACAGTCGGGGCGTTGACCTAAGGAACCCTAAATAAGGAACGAGGCCCCTTTTTTCCAAAAGGAAAACTTCGATCTCCGATCGAAAACTTAAGGAACACCTGAGGCAAGCTGTGAAACACTCATTGGACACGGAGCCCCTCCCCAACGAAAAGGGTTCCTTCTTCAGGGCCCCGACTGTAAACATGAACACAGACTCTCGATGGTCCGCGCGGACTTCTTGGATCCACCTTCTCCCCGGCGCGCGGAGCGTGCCATGGGGCGGCGCCGGAGGCGTCGCCATGGGGGCCCACCGCCGATACAAACTAGGGCTCCCAACTTCGCGCTTCGCGCTGCGCGAAGCGCGAAGCGCGAAGAACTTCGCGCTCTCGCGCCGCCCTCCCAAAGGGAGAATAGGAGGACGAGGAGGAGGGGGAGAAGGAACGAGGACCGCGAAGCGCGAAGCGCGAATAACTTCGCGCCCTCGAGGGAGCCCTTGTTCATGCAGTGTTTGTTCTTCGACCCATCCTCCGTCCTAATGAGGGAACCCACAAGAGGACGTACGCGCCCAACTATGTGGATGAACACGGCCCCTTGACCCGCGAGAAGGGCCGCGTGACACGAACACCCGCGCAGTTAGAGGCCTCCTAGATGGGGTCCGAATAGATGGGGTCGGAGGATCGGGCCGCATCGCCGATGCATCGGCGATGCATCGATGATGCACCGGCGATGCATCGTCGACGTCGGCGATGCATCGGCGACGTCGACATGAAGCAGATCGGGCTCCATATCGAGCCGTAACGCCGATGCATCGGCGAAGCGGCGCGATCCTCCGACCCCGTCTGCTCCGACCGCATCTGGGAGGCCCAGAGCAATGCGACCTCTCGAAACCAGCGTGGGTTCATGCACGTGTGCGTCCTCCTTCCGCTCCATCCTCATCCCTCACCCACTCCGACGGAAGGTCACTCCGACGTCTGGTCGACAAAGAGCTATCGGGACGAAGAGCCAGTCCCAGGGGGAGGAGGAGGAGGAGGAGGAGGAGGAGGAGGAGGAGGAGGAGGAGGAGGAGGAGGAGGAGGAGGAGGAGGAGGAGGAGGAGGATCCTCACCTCGGGGGTGGACACGGCCCCCTCGGACAGGACGCCCTCCTCCGCGAGACCAGGCCGGGGGGGGGCCCGCGCCCGGCGTGCGCAGCATCTCCCCGCGGCAGCCGCCGCGGGCGCAGCGCGCCCCCCGTCGAGGAGCGACGACCGGGGCGACTCGCGGGCAGACTTGGCAGGCTGGGGGTTCCAAGGTGCAGGCGACAGGCGACAGGCGCGACGAGCAAGGAGGGGGAAGATCCTCCTCCTCCTCCTCCTCCTCCTCCTCCTCTTCCTCCTCCTCCTCCTCCTCGCGAAAAGGGGGGGGGAAGTTCGGAGAGCCAACCTCCCCGGTGATCCGTAGGATGGGGGCGACGGGTGTGCTCTCCTCTCACAGGGAGAGAGCATCGTGAGCGAATCCATGACGTCAGCACCCGGGCCGAAGGGGCGGCGGATGAGAGGAGGTAGGTAAGGAAAGGTAGACACACTCTCCACCTCCTCCTCCTCCTCTTCCTCCTTGTCCTCCTCCTCCTCCTGCTCCTCCTCCTGCTCCTCCTCCTCCTCCTTCTCCTCCAGAATCGGCCCCCAGGCCTGTGTGCGTTCTGGGGGAAATCTTCGAGGGGGCGGCGAGAAGGCCCTGATAACCTCATTCCTCGATCCTCCTCCCTCCTCCCTCCTCCCTCTTCGTCCTCGTTCTCCTCCTCCCTCCTCCTCCTCCTCCTCCTCCTCCTCCTCCTCCCCCTCCCCCTCCTCCTCCTCCTCCTCCTCCTCCTCCTCCTCCTCCTCCTCCTCCTCCTCCTCCGACAACGACGACGGACCGCGGACGACGGACGAACGACGACGACCACCACCTCGGCGAGACGAGACGCTGCAGTGCGCGCCAGGGCGCGGCCCCGTGGAGAGCGCCGCGGGGAGGCCGTGGCCCTTCAGATGTCGACGGGGCGTACGCTCCTGAGCTCCGCGGGCTCACCTCAGCACTGCTCTGTAGACCTTGCTCCGCGGGCCCTCTTCCCACCTCTCGAGCAGGAGATCGAGCAGGAGATCGGCTATTGTTTGTGTGTGTGTGTGTGTCTCTGTCTCTGGCTGCCGCTCCCCGCCACCCTTGCCGCCGTGGTTCGCCACGGCCGCCCACCGCGCTCTGGTCCTGCGCGCCTGGCTGCTGCTGCCCCCCCGGGTGCTCATCGTCGAACTCTTCGGCGTCTGAGCGTCCCTTCTTCCTCTCGGCCATGCCCCCCCCCCCCCGCCTCTTTGCTCGCCGGCCAATTCGCTGGTTAGTGCCCCTGTCTAGCTTCTCGCTGGAGCGGAGTTCGCCGCGTCGCCGCTGACGGACAAACATGTTTGTCTGTCTATCTTTCCGTCCTGACGCACGTTCTTGAACTCCGTGGGGACTCCGTGGGCTCACTTCCAGTCTGCTTTGTCGACCTTACTCCTCGAGTAACGGAATGACTACATAATGTATTGACAACGAAAGTGTTTTCTTTTGTCCGCCGAATCTGCAAACATACGTAACATGTTAGTTGATCTACGTGCGGTATAGGTTCTTTCTTGCAGATTCGACAAGCACGCGAATATCGGGGAAACTCCATCCTTTAGTCGATCTCCTACTCGACAGATGAGACGTCCGTTTTTGAACTCTGTGGGCTCAGCTCCGTTCTGTTTTGTCGACCTTACTCCGTGGGCCCTCATCCTGACTACCTACCAGACCACCCCAACCCAACCCGAATACCCGAATCTGACCTGAATTTCGGGTTGGGGGGGTATGGGGTCGATCCGTGTTTTTTCAAAGTGTTTCCCGACCCCCCCCCACTGGAATTGGAGGGCAAACTGAGGCCTTCGGGTTGGGTTGGGGTGGTCTGGTGGGTGGTGACATCCCACCGCCGACTCCCGAGTCCAATTCCCCCCGATCCGCTGGCCCCGCCCCCCCATTCCCCCCCCCCGGCCCCGCGCGAAGCTGCCTCCGTCGCCGGCGGCCGCCCAGCTAGCGGAGCCCGCCGCCAGGCCGCCGCCGCCGTCTGCCAGGAGGGGGTGGTGGGAGGAGGAGGAGGAGGAGGAGGAGGAGGAGGAGAGAGAGGAGGAGGAGGAGGAGGAGGAGGGGTGGAGGAGGAGGAGGAGGCACGAGGAGGAGGAGGAGGAGGAGGAGGGAGGAGGAAGGAGGAGGAGGAGGAGGAGGAGCAGGAGGAGGAGAGAGGAGGAGGAGGAGGAGGAGGACGAGGAGGAGGGAGGAGGAGAGGAGGACGAGGGGCAGGAGGAGAGGAGGAGGAGGAGAGGAGGAGGAGGAGGAGGAGGAGCAGGAGGAGGGAGGAGGAGGAGAGGTGGAGGAGGAGGAGGAGAGGGAGGACAAGGAGGAGGAGGAGGAGGAGGAGGGACGAGGAAGAGGAGGACGAGGAGGAGGGGGAGGACGGAGGAGGAGGACGGAGGAGGACGGGGGAGGAGAGCAATGAGCTCGGTGACGCGGAGGCGGGCGCGCCCGCGAGGTGCGCGGGGCACCCGCTCGGCGCGGAGGGGAGCGCCGTGGCCTTCCCACGGGCGCCTGGAGCCACCAGTGGCTGCCTCTGGCCATCGCTCGGACGTCCATTCCCTGTGTTTTTTTGGTTTCGTGCGTGTTTTTTTTCTCGCAGGAGGATCCAGATTGCTCCTTAATAATCCCTGCCGAGGAAAGGTGCACACGTCCGAACGATACCAAGGCCTTCGTCCTGGGGCGAGGAGGTCAACGCGTGGCCGATTCTGGCGGGGGGGGAAGACTTTGCAAGAAGAGGCGGCTTCTTCGGAGGCGCCAGCCCGACATCTACAGCCAACCAGTACAGCAAGGATGCGCGATGAGGACGCAAGGGCCCTGGACGCCCATTTCGAAGTTTTTCGAGCGGGGCGCGGCCAACGAGAGTGGCCAAGGATGGACCCAGGAGGCAAGGATGCAAGGGTACCCTTGGGAAGGTTGCCCACCCTTGCCATGTGTGTGAACTGTGCAGACAAGGCCCGCGCCTTCGAAGAAGTAGGTGTGCTTCTAAGAAGGTTTCCCCCCTCCCTCTGCCCCCCCTCTGCGCGTGGCCGACGGTAGCGGAAACCCTGAGCCCAAAAACCTTGGCCTCTCTTGGGGAAATCGAGCTTTACTTCCGCCCACTTCCGCTGGCGAAGACGGCCTTGCTTTGCCTCCGCCAGCTTCCGCCGGCCTTCCGCCGCCTCCCGCTAGGGAACAGATGCCAACTCTGGGGAGACTAAAATACCGATGCTGCTACTCCCAGGACCCCTCCCAGGGCGCGTTCTGACCAGGATTTCGAGGCGAATCCAGCGGTGGCGACGAGGGCATCCCAGGATGCCCGAATTATCCTGGCGAAGGACCCAACCATGTGCAGTTGTGAAGATCGCATTGCGGGTGCCGCTTTCGGTGGAGCTCCCTGTGGGGCCACGAAACGCTGTGCTGGGTGGGGGTGACGCATGCGGGCGGCACCACTGGGGCCTTCGGTGGAGGTCACTGTGGGGCCACGAAACGCTGTACTGGGCGGGGGTGACGCATGCGGGCGGCACCACTGGGGCCGTCGGTGGAGCTCCCTGTGGGGCCACGAAACGCTGTGCTGGGTGGGGGTGGCGCATGCGGGCGGCACCACTGGGGCCTTCGGTGGAGCTCCCTGTGGGGCCACGAAATTCTGTGCTGGGGTGGGGGTGACGCATGCGGGCGGCACCACTGGGGCCGTCGGTGGAGGTCCCTGTGGGGCCACGAAGCGCTGTGTTTGGTGGAGGTGCCGAAATGGGTGTGCGGGACGCATGCGAGCGGTGGCACTGGGGCCTTCGGTGGAGCTCCTTATGGGGCCACGAAACGTGTGAGGGGTGTGCCGAAATAGGTGTGGCTGACGCATGCGGGCTGGTGCCACGAAACGTGTGAGGGGTGTGCCGGATTGGATTTGGCTGACGCATGCGGGCGGCGGCACTGGGGCCTTCGGTGGAGCTCCCTATGGGGCCACGAAAGCGTGTGAGGGGTGTGCCGAATTGGGTGTGGCTGACGCATGCGAGCGGCAGCACTGGGGCCTTCGGTGGAGCTCCCTGTGGGGCCACGAGGCGTGTGAGGGGTGTGCCGAATTGGGTGTGGCTGACGCATGCGGGCGGCGGCACTGGGGCCTTCGGTGGAGCTCCCTATGGGCCGCTCGAAACGTGTGACGGGTGGGTGGGGGGGTGGTGCCGAAATGGGCGTGGGTGACGCATGCAGGCGGTGGCACTGGGGCCTTCGTTGGAGCTCCCTATGGGGCCACGAAACGTGTGAGGGGTGTGCCGAAATGGGCGCGGTGCCGCCATGCGGACGCAGCCACTGGGGCCCTCGGTGGAGCTCCCTATGGGGCCACGAAGCGTGTGAGGGGTGTGCCGAAATGGGTGTGGCTGACGCATGCGGGCGCGGGCACTGGGGCCTTCGGTGGAGCTCCCTATGGAGCCACGAAACGTGTGAGGGGTGTGCCGAAATGTGTGTGGCTGACGCATGCGGGCGCGGGCACTGGGGCCTTCGGTGGAGCTCCCTATGGAGCCACGAAACGTGTGAGGGGTGTGCCGAAATGGGTGTGGCTGACGCATGCGGGCGCGGGCACTGGGGCCTTCGGTGGAGCTCCCTATGGAGTCACGAAGCGTGTGAGGGGTGTGCCGAATTGGGTGTGGCTGACGCATGCGGGCGCGGGCACTGGGGCCTTCGGTGGAGCTCCCTATGGAGCCACGAAGCGTGTGAGGGGTGTGCCGAAATGGGTGTGGGTGACGCATGCGGGCGCGGGCACTGGGGCCTTCGGTGGAGCTCCCTATGGAGCCACGAAACGTGTGAGGGGGTGTGCCGAAATGGGTGTGGGTGACGCATGCGGGCGCGGGCACTGGGGCCTTCGGTGGAGCTCCCTATGGAGACGAAACGTGTGAGGGGTGTGCCGAATTGGGTGTGCGTGACGCATGCGGGCGGCAGCGCTGGAGCCTTCGGCGGAGCTCCCTATGGGGCCACGAAACGTGGGAGGGGTGTGCCGAATTGTGGGTGTTGCTACGCAATGGCGGCGGGGCAAGTGCAAACTGTGGGCCCTGTGGGGGCCTTCGGTGGAGCTCCGTATGGGGCCACGAAACGTGTGAGAGGTGTGACGATGATGGTGATGATGACGATGATGGTGGGTGATGACGATGATGATGACGATGATGATGATGATGATGATGATGATGATGATGATGATGATGATGATGATGATGATGATGATGCTGATGGGAGGAGGGAGGAGGGGGAAGAGGAGGAGAGGAGGAGAGGAACGCGGGGCACCGTCTCTTCAAAACGAGGACCCAACACCACAGGATGGTTGGGAAAAAAGGAAACGGGCGAAGGGTAGAGGTATGGCTAGCTTTTCCTCCTCTGAAGCTCCTTCGATCCTCGAAGAGCAAGGCCCTTTCTGGAACGTCCCACGCGTCCGCTGCTTCAGGCCTGGCCCACCCTGGGCTACGAGCAAGTGTATGCGCCTCCTCGCCCAAGGCAGGGAGTGCGCGTACACCGCTCGAGGGCTCAGGATGCAGGCCAGGGGCAGCGGATGAGCACAAGTCTCGTTGCCCGCGTCATTCCTTGGGGATCGAGGACTCGACGCGTCCGGCAGAGCTTTTGGGCGCCTCCGCCCCTTCTTGGAGCGGCCCGGCGGGGGCCTCCTGCAGCCACCGGGGGACGTCAGGGGTCAGCTGCTGGGGGGGAGGGGGGGCGTGTGTGACAGCAGCGGGCGCCTGGAGGCAGCAGGTGTTGCCCTCGCGCGAAGCGGGGACATATCCACATCCACCGCCGGCGGAACCGACGCCCTGGGGCCCCAGCGGGAGGTGGACGTGGATATGGACATGGATATAGATATGGATATCTACATATATATATATGTATGTGTATTGGCCGCCGGAGGGAGATTACATCCACATCCAATGATTGCCGAGGTCCCCGAAGAGCGATCCCCCAGGCGGCGGTTGTGGACAATGCCCCGCCTCGGACCGCGTTTCTTGGGGCGCGCTTCCGCCCCCGCTTGGGGCGCCGGGGCCCAGGGGGCCCCTGGCAGTCTCAAAGACGGGATTCCGGGTCCAGGGCGGCAGCAGAACTTACCACCCAAAGCTGGCACAATCCTTCCCCCGCACCCGTGTTCCTGATTGATCTCCCGCGGATGCAAGTCCACAAGAAACCTCCCACAAGAAACCCAACCCTGAGACCCCAGAACGTCCATTGATTTTTGGTGTGGGAACGTCACTCTCTCCATCGCAACCCAACATGATCGACCCACGAACCCGGAAAGGAATATAGAAATGTAAAGCATGGCATCGCTTCAAAGACACCTGATTGGGCAACGGGCAAATACAATGCTGAGTGTATCGATCTTGATGTACCGTGCCGAGGGCTGTGCTGTGCTGCGCCGTGCTGAACTGCCATGTGCCATGCCGCGATTGTGCCCTATGGCGTTGTGGACCGAGTCCTCCTTTGCATCCGAGTCCTGACCGAACTGATGTGGATCTTAAGCTCGAGCTGCCCCGGCACATAGTAGCTGCCCCAGAGCTAATTCACAAGGGCACATGCCAGGAAGACGCGCCGCGGAACGTTCCAAGGGACGCGCCAGGCGACGTGCCAGGGGACGTGCCATGGGGACGCACCGCGGGACGTGCCAAAGGGACGCGCTACGGAACGTGCCAATGGACGTGCCACGGGACGTGCCAGGGGACGCTCCGCGCGACGTGCCAAGGGGACTCGCCACAGGACGCGCCACGGAACGTGCCAGGTTGCAATGCTGAATGATTGCATCGATCTTGATGTACCATGCCGAGGGCTGCGCAGTGCTACGCCGTGCTGAACTGCCAGTTGCAACGTCGCGAGTGTGCTCTATAGTGTTGTGGATCGTGTCCTCCGTTGGATACGAGTCCTGACCGAACTGATCTGGATCTTAAGCTCGAGCTGCCTGAGCACATAGTGCACATAGTAGCTGCCCCAGAGCTAATTGACAAGGGGCCATGCCAAGAAGACGCGCCGCGGAACGTTCCAATGGACGCGCCAAGCGACGTGCCAAAGGACGTGCCGTGAGGACGCACCGCGACACGTAAAAACACATGGTGCCAGCTCGGGACAACCATGTTAGATAACCCCCTGGGTGGCCTGGACACGTTAAAACACGTGGCTCCAGCTCGGGACAATCATGTTAGAGATCTCCCTGTGTGGCCTGAGCATGAAACAAACACGTGGCTCCAGCTCGGGACAATCATGTTAGAACCCCCCCTGCGTGACCTGGACACGCTGAATTCGCGCTCGTGCTGGAGACATCCTCGCCATGTCTTCCCTGGAGAGGCCCCCAAAGCGCAACTCCCTGTTCAGAGCAGGAAACCACCACGTTTCTGCATTGGGACATGTGTTCGGGTAGTGCCCCCCCCCCCCCCCGTGGGTTTCCACATGATTCGGTGTTGGGCCCGACGCCATGTTGGATACCCTCCTTGGCGGCCTGGACACGTAACACCACATGGTTCCAGTTCGAGGCAATCATGCTAGATACCCGACTAGGTGGCCTGGACACGTAAAACACATGGTGACAGCTCTGGGCAACCACGTTAGATACACCCTGGGTGGCCTGGACATGTAAAACACGTGGTGCCAGCTCGGGACAACCATGTTGGATACCCCCCTGGGCGGCCTGGACACGTTGAAACACATGGTCCTTGCTCGGGGCAATCATGTTGGATACCCCCCCTGGGTGGCCTGGACACGTAAAAACACGTGGTCCTTGCTCGGGACAACCATGTTAGATGCCCCCCCGTGTGTGGCCTGGACATGTAAAAGCACGTGGTGCCAGCTCGGGACAACCATGTCATATACACCCCTGAGTGGCCCGGACACGTTAAAACATATGGTCCTTGCTCGGGACAATCATGTTGGATACCCCCCTGGGTGGCCTCGACACGTAAAAACACGTGGTTCCGGCTCGGGGCAACCATGTTAGATGCCCCCCTGCGTGGCCTGGATATGTTGAATTCGCGCTCCCGCTCGAGACATCCTCGCATGGTCTTCCCTGGAGAGGCCCCCAAAGCCCCCCCCGTGTCCAGAGCAAGAGAACTTCACTAGACACACGTGTTCGGGTAGCGCTTTTCGCCCCCCCCCCCCCCCCCCACCCCCCCCCCCCCCCCGCCCCCCCTGCGTTTTCTGATAATTCGACGTTGGGCCCCACGCCATGTTGGATATCCCCCCTGGGCGGCCTGGACACGTAAAAGCACATGGTTCCACTTCGGGACAATCATGTTAGATACCCGACTGGGTGGCCTGGACACGTAAAAACACATGGTGCCAGCTCTGGGCCACCATGTCAGGTACCCCCCCAGGGTGGCCTGGACAATTGAAAACATGTGGGTCCAGCGCAGGACCACCATGTTAGATACCCCTCCTGGGTGGCCTGAACATGTTAAAACACGTGGTTCCAGCTCGGGACCATCATGTTAGGTACACCCCTGGGTGGGCTGGACAGGTCGTCTGAGGCGCCAGCGACGGACAACCATGTTGGATACCCTCCTGGACGACCTGGGCACGTGAAAACAAGCATTTCGCCTGAGACATCCTCTGAATTCTGGCTCCCCACGAGGCCCCCGCTCGAGACATCCCCCAACTCTGCAAAACCAGCATTTCGCTCGAGACATCCTCAACAACTTCTGAAAACAAGCGTTTCGCTCGAGACATCCTCAATGTTTAATCCGCCGGCCCACCTCGACCTCGATAATCATCAGGAAAAGAATCCGCCGGCCCACCTCAGCCATGGCACTGGGGACAATTTGCAAACTAAACGAGAACCCTGGGCCCGCGACCACACTGGAGGCGAGCAGGGTGTTTCTTCGCATGGGTCTCCACTGTATACTCCCGCGTTGCCACCTAGCTGGCCGATGGGGACACGCCCAGAAGTGGGGGTCCGTTCTACTTGGGCGCCCGAGTTATCCGGGGTAACTCGGGTTTGGATTCCCGAAAAAGGAACCCGAGTTAGCCCTGACCCGAGTTACCCCTGATGATTCGGGGCTCTGATCTACCGTCTGTGATCTTCCTTCTTTGCGAGCACTTGCAGGAGCACCCTTCCGAGACGACGTTTGGTGGGCTTGTTTTCCACCACCACCACCATAAGTCGGAGGGGGGAAGGAGGTGGATGACGAGGAGGAGGAGGAGGAGGAGAACGAAGAGAAGGAGGAGGAGGAGGACGAAGAGAAGGAGGAGGAGGAGAGGAGGGGGGAGGAGGAGGAGGAGGAGGAGGAGAACATCAACGCTTTTCCTCTCGACGCGGACGCTCTGTGGTCCACGCCGCCAGAAAAGGCGCGGGACGGAGCGGAGCGGGGCGCACGTCCCGTCCCGAGAGGGAGACACGTCGCTCTCGCCTCGGCGCCGCGCCCAGATCTCCTGAGGCTTTCGTGGGCTCCTCCTCCTCCTCCTCCTCCTCTCCTCCTCCTCCTCCTCCTCCTCCTCCTCCTCCTCCTCCTCCCTCCTCCCCTCTCCTCCTCCTCCTCCTCCTCCTCCTCCTCCTCCTCCTCCTCCTCCTCCTCCTCCTCCTCCTCCTCCTCCTCTCCTCCTCCTCCTCCTCCTCCTCCCTCCTCCTCCTCCCTCCTCCTCTCCTCTCCTCCTCCTCCTCCTCCTCCTCCTCCTCCTCCTCCTCCTCCTCCTCCTCCTCCTCCTCCTCCTCCTCCTCCTCCTCCTCCTCCTCCGCCCAGACGCGGCGCCGCGCCCGCGTGGGCGCGGCGCAGTTTTCGCGCGCCGAGTCATCGACGCGCGAACGGACGAAAATGTCGCTCTCACCTCGGCACCGCGCAGAGTTCTTTGGGACGTGGCGTTCCCGCCCCGGGGCGGCGTAGGCGTGTCGGTCGCCAGGTTTGGGGGCCCCGTGGAGGCGGGCGGCTTGTCGCCTTCGACCGAGCTCCGTGAGCATTTCGCTGGGAGGTGGCGTTCCCGCGCGGGCGCGGCGCATGCCTCGCTCGCCAGATCGCATGACAGAGGCAGCGGCAGCGGGGCCGCGCGAGATCGGGCGCAATGCTGTCCTCGCCCAAGTGCCGCGCAGCTTGTGTGAAAGTGGCACTGTCGTGTTGGCGCGGCGCATGTTCGTTGTCGCTGCGGCCTGCGTAATTTTCCGTTCGTCATGTCGTCGGAAGTGGGACTGCGCGCGAGCAACCTTCCGATCATCAGGTGGAAGCGCGATCCAAACTTACAATGGTGTTATGGGGGTGGGTGGGACTCGGCGGGGCAACTGGAAATTCCCTCCCGCTCCTCATCCCCTCCTCTCCTTTTTGCTCTCCCTCTTCCCCAGATCTGGAAAATTCTCGGCGTTCAAGGAAGCGTTGAGTTGTCCAACTACCATTGGGCACTCGTGGATCGCGAGAAGGCCAATTCCAAAATTCTCTGGAGATCGCTCGGCAATGCGATCGGTCAACAACCCACAGCTGTGCGTAGCTGAAGATTGTCGATTGTCGGTGCTGTCGGTCCCACTGCTTCACCTTCACAGCGACTAGCGATGTCGATGCCCACCCGGGAGTTACTGTCCCACGCTCTCCCTTTCTGGATCAGGACAGGACCCACTGGCCTTTCGAAGGAATTCTCGACAGAGGAGCCAGGGCGATCGCGGGCAGGACGAAGGTCGCAGGCGCCGGGACAACCCTGTGGGAGCACAACGCCCAGGGCGGACCACCAGTACGATTCGCCTCATGCATCACAGTCGCTGTCATAGCCAAGACAACGTTCCGCTGGCCCAGGCCACGGGGTGCAGCCTTGTCCTCCTCCTCCTCCTCCTCCTCCTCCTCCTCCTCCTCCTCCTCCTCCCTCCTCCCCCTCCTCTCCTCCTCCTCCTCCCCCTCCTCCCCCTCTCCCTCCTCCTCCTCCCCCTCCTCCTCCTCCTCCCCCTCCTCCTCCTCCTCCTCCTCCTCCCCCTCCTCCTCCTCCTGTACCTCGCTGTCCCCAGGCGCCCGACGCTCCCCAATCATCGCCGCCCCTGGGGGCCTGCGAACTCCCCGGCGCCAAAGCCGTCGCCGCCCCACGCGGCGGGGTCGTCGGCCTCGCGGGGCCGGGAGGGAGGCCGCCGTGGAGCGCCTTGGAGCCGTCCGGGGCCCCTCTTTCGGGCCGGGCGCAAGGGGGGATACTCCAGATTTCGTAATAAAGGGGAGGGGTTCTCATTTCGGGGGGGGTCTCTTCCAGGCTATCTTGGAGGGCCTGGGGGGGTCTGGGGACGATGTTTTGGATGGTTCTCCCACGGGGGGGGGGTCTAAAACTTCTCGTCTGGGAGGGTCCAGACCCCCTCCCTTTTATTACGAAATCTGGAGTAGCAAAGGGGGGGTCTGAGAATCAGCTCGCTTAGCTGATTTTCCCGGCGCCTCCCGGCGCCGGAGGCGCCCATGTGTCGAGGAATGGGCCCGGCGGCGGGGCCGAGACCAACTGCGTGCAGCAGATTTCGTACCCCCCTTTCCTAATCCCCCCCTTTCGCCCAATCCCCTGGGCTCGCCTGGGAGCTCTCTTGGGCGCCGACTGGGCCATCTTGGAGCGAGCCTCCTCGGCAGTCTCGGACGCTCTGGAGACCGAGGAGCCGAGTGTGTGAAATTGGCACTGGCACCGAAGGAAAACCTGTAAGTGTTGCCTTCCGGGGGAAGCGAAGCCTCCGCGCATCACTTTTCTGGGGTCGCGGCCACGAGGGGGGTCGAGGAGGAGGAGGAGGAGGAGAAGGAGGAGGAGAAGGAGGAGCAGGGCAGGGCGAGGAGGGGGCAGAGAGAATGAGGAAGAGGGAGGAGGGTGCAGCGAGGAGGGAGCGGCGGCAGCATGTGGAGGAAGAGGAGGAAGAGGACGGAGTCGGAAGATGAGTGCTCGCGGCTCCGCAGGCGACGGAAGTTAAGTAGCCGAGCGGCTGGCGCGCCCTCTCATCGCAAGGCCTCTGTTGTGTCGGGCCTCTTGATGCGATGGGCAGCTCGCAGTGGAAGCCGCTCTCTGGGCGCCTGGCCTCTCGCGAGAAGCTGGTGTCACCAGGGCTGCGCTGGGCAGCGGCGCGGGCCAAGGCCTGGGCCGCCTCCGAAGGTGGCCGGAGCGGGTCAGCGTGGTGGCGCCAGAGGTTGTACGTGTGTGAAGGTGAACTGACACACACACACACACACACATTCACACACACATTCACACACACATTCACACACACATTCACACACACATTCACACACATTCCCACACACACATTCACACACACACACATTCACACACACACAAAAATAAATACACACAAATGGAATAATTCCCTATATTTTCCTATATTTTCTGGGTTTCTGTCTTCCCCCCACTTCCCATATTTTCCCATATTTTCCTGGGAGTCGACGATTAATTGTGTCTGTGTGTTCTTTTCCCTCCTGAGTGTGGTGCAGCGTTGCCAGCCGCGCCGCCCCGCGGGGCGGGCAGTTCTCACCCTGCCATTCTGCGCCGCAGTTTGGCGTCGAGCCCATGCCGAGTCGGCGCAGGAGGCACGCGCGGTCGATGGAGCGCGGTGCCATGCAGAGACTCTACCGAACCCCAGGGCAGCCAGACAGATAGTGGCTGATTTCAGCCTCTGGCGCCAACCGAGGCGCATGCGACGCGCTGTCGGGCAGCCTCCCGCCAAATGCTGCCCAGCAAACGCCGGAGGCCGCACAGTCCAAGTGGCGTCGGAGGACCGCCCATCGCCCGTCGGAGGCCAAGTGGCTCGGGATGGGGTGCTGAGGCCACCACGCGCGCAGGCGGCGCTCGAGTTTCTTGCGAGAGGGCCGCGCGCGCGAGCGCGGGAGCACAGCAACGCGCGAGCCCGGTCGCCAGCGGCAGCAGCCAGGCGGACCTCCAGCACCGCTGCGGCACTGCCCGCAGGCAGGGCCTGCTGGCGCGGCTGGCGGAGCCGCCTGCCGGGCGCATCGGCCGCGGCCCTGGCCACCGCGAGAGCAGGTACCGGGCCGTCGATTGCCGGCAGGTCCAGAAGGGCGCGGGCCACCGCCCTCTCAGCACGGCGCGGACTGTGAGCGCCCGCTGCGCACGAGCGCTGCGGCAGTGCTGCTGCGAGGCCGCGGCGCTCTCGAAGAACCTCGGCCGTTTTCCAGCAGGCGGCTCAGGTTGGAGGCGGCGGCGCCATCGGTGCGGGTCTGGGCGCCTCCTCCCTCCTGCTCAGCAGGTCGCCCGGGGCGAAGCTCATGGGCAACACCCTCGGAAGACGGTGCAGCACGTCCAGCTCGCTCCTGATGAGGTCCCCACGCGCGCGCGCGCCTGGACGTTCAGCCGCTGCCCCGCCGGTGGAGCTCCAGGAGGCAGCGTCCTCCTCTTCCTCCTCCTCCTCCTCATTCTTTTTTTGCGGGGCAGCCGATGCGCGGCCCCTGCGCCAGTTTTGCAAGCGCCAGTCCAGAGGCGCAACAGGAGCAGCACTGAAACCTGTAATTCTTGCACTGGGACGAATTCGCCGAGATCGACCGCGACACCCTTCTTAACAGGATGGAGGCCTCTACGGAGCTCACGCACATTTTTTATAGGTTGGGCGCATTTGCGCCCCGGGCGCATTTGCGCCCCAAGCCAAGAACCATTCCAACACTGCTATAAAACTTGCAAGTCGTGCGACAGTGCAAATGTGAACAGTCTGAGCAGGGAAACGCTATCACACGATGCCCGAACCCCTCAGGACGCCTTGGTCGAGCCTGGTGCGGCCAGGGCATTCATGGCCTCCAAAGGGCAGGGCCGTCGCTCCGGAGCCCCACAGGCAGACCCGACACCACCAGACGGCACCGCAGCGTTCCCATTCGCGCGCGAACTCAAGTCTGTCGGGCTTCGGCGGTCTTGGCAGCTGGACACGATGAAGACCTCTGAACTCGACGTTCGGCCATGCGACGTTGCTACCCATCCGCTAGGTGCCCCACGAAACTGTTACACCCCGATGGCCACTGGGGCCCACAGAAGATCTGGGGCATGTTAGGATTCTCAGAAAACGACGGAGAATCAGCCCCAAGACTTCCCATAACAATATTTACTTTTGTATGTGTCTACGGTACCTCGCCCTGATATCTCTCTCTCTCTCTCTCTTTTTCTCTCTCCCTCTCTCTCTCTCTTTTTTTTTTTTTTTTTGTTCTCTCTCTCTCTCTCTTTTTGTCTCTCGGCCCATGTGCACTCCACTGTATCCCCGCACCCTCTATCTGGTCACACACACACGCGGGCCCACGCCTCTGTGCCCGCTTCGTCTCTAGCCCTCCCTGTCGCCTCGTCTTCATCCTCCCCTCTTCCTCATTGTCATCATCGTCATCAACATATGCATCATCATCATCATCGTCATCATCATCGTCATCATGATTCTCATCATCATCATCATCATCATCATCATCATCATCATCATCATCATCATCATCATCATCATCATCATCATCGTCTGCCCACTTGTCTGTGTCCGCTTCTTCTCTGCCCCATGCCTCCTTCTCAATCTGGCACATTTGTCCCTGCTCCCAATCATCTACTCCTCCCCCCCTCAACTTTGCCGTCCCCCTCCTCCTCCTCCTCCTCCTCCTCCTCTTCTTCTTCTTCGTCATCATCGTCACCAGCATCATCATCATCATCATCATCATCATCACCCTCATCAATATCATCACAGTGAACCGCAGAACCGAACCACGAACCACATAACCGAACCGACCGAGGGATAACCGACGGAACCGGAACCCGTCAGAAACCCGACGTGAACCGAAACCAAGCCGAACCGGAGGCGGTGGAACCGAACCGGGCCCGAACCTGGAACCGAACCGGGGACCGGTCGTGGAGGGAGGTGGACCCTGGGGAACTGCCCGATGGAGGTGGACCCTTGGGACTGCCCGAAACGGAAGGGCGGCGGAAAAGCTCAAATCGCATTTTTGGACGGTTCGAAAATGCGTTTTGGGCCTCCAGGTGGTTTTCGGGGCCTCCAAGGCTGCTCTGGGGATGGCAGGGCGGCGGAAAAGCTCAAATCGCATTTTTGGACGGTTCGAAAATTCGTTTTCGGCCTCCAGGTGGTTTTCGGAGCCTCCAGAGCTGCGCTGGGGACGGAAAGGCGGCGAAAAAATTCAATTCTCCAGGGTCCCAAGACCGCTAACCAGCAAGAATATCCGACGCAGCAGCGGGAGACGAGCCAAACGCAACAGCGTGCAAGTGGAGTGGCCCCACGGGCCACATGTGTGACTCTCCCAGCAAGTGTCGAGCGGTGCAGAGAGGGGTGCAAGGCAGCACCACGCAGGCAGTGCAAGACAATTCTCAAACGAAAAGCAAATCGGCTAGCCGAAACTCGTAGGCCTTTTTCTCACGGCCAAGAGAACGGGTGGTGGTGGGGAAGAAGGATGGCAGAACTTGAGCCATCACAGTTGCAGTGACAGCAACACTGATGCAGACCGGTATGCTACACAGGGACTGGGAGAAACCACATCTACAGATTACTATTCTCCAGGGTCCCAAGACCGCTAACCAGCAAGAATATCCGACGCAGCAGCGGGAGACGAGCCAAACGCAACAGCGTGCAAGTGGAGTGGCCCCACGGGCCACATGTGTGACTCTCCCAGCAAGTGTCGAGCGGTGCAGAGAGGGGTGCAAGGCAGCACCACGCAGGCAGTGTAAGACAATTCTCAAACGAAAAGCAAATCGGCTAGCCGAAACTCGTAGGCCTTTTTCTCACGGCCAAACCTCCCGAATTCCTCGGGACTGGTCTCTGGACCGACATTGCACGAAGCGAGTGCAAAAGCCTGACAGGTAAAGAGCTGGCGGCGCGCTTCGCGCTTCGAATCTGAGAAGCTTCACACTTTTCAAGCTGCTTTAAAAGCTGGGCGTGCTTCTCATATCTCGTGACACTTTTGAAGCTCACCCAACGGCCTCTCTTCTGAATTGACGGAAGGTCGGCTCGCCTTTCAAACCGATCGTTGGACGGGCCCGAGTGGCGCAACCAATGCGGCGAGCCGCCCACGGCCTGGAGCTTCAACCTTATCAAGGAGGCTTTGAACTCCCTCTCGTAGGCGGCAAGATCGAAATCGAACACGCGCTCACCAGCGTGGACTGAATCTTCGAGCGCGGCCGCAACGTCTCGGACCCACTCACGGCCGCACACTCCGACATCGACGGTGTCATCTGTCTGGCCAGTCTTGGTCCTCCGTCCGGATTCGGACGGCGCAAAGACCACTGCCCAGCGGCCGGCAAAGGCACGGCCTGCCGCGGGCTGGCTACGGAGAATGTCGGCCTCTGAGAGCTTCAGGGTCTCCGAAGGCCTCGAGTGCAGATCGGTCTGAAGCACCGCGCAGGCGGCCATGCGCACCACCCCGTGATTCAGCAGGTCCAGCGCGAAGGCCCAGATCAGTATGAGCGGATAGGGTAGGCCGACAAGCCCAGGATCTGTCCGCCCCCACGCTTTCAACTGTCTTCGAGCCCGCGGGAGCAACTGACGTCCGTCTTGAAAAGGTTCCCCTCGCAGCAGGATCCAACCGAACAAGCCGTTACGGCCCGTCCCAGGACCCATGCCACCGAAGAACATCTGTGTAAACCAGTGCACCATATTCTCATCGGCATCTTTTGCATTGTTGGTCTGACGACCGACCTCGACGCGCCGCGTCTCGAAGTCCTCCAGCGCCGCGGTGTACAGCCCCCGAGTGGACTCTGCGACGGACAGCTCCCTCATGAACTGCGCCCTCGAACGCCCGCTGTCCTGAGCTCGGCGACGCCGGCTGGCGGCCTTGGCCTTAGCCGAGGCCCGGCGGCGGGACCACTGGGAGGTCGAGAGCCTCCCCGCGCCTCCTGAGCCGGGCTCTCTCGGCGGCCCCCGTCCTACCGAAGAGGACGCCGTGGCACGCGAGGTAGTCGGTGGCTGCCCCACAAGCCGTATCGCCGCGCGCTGCTTCGTCAGCACCGGGAACATTACGCCCAGCACGAAGACGACGGCTAGGCCGAACCAGTGCCGCCAAGGCAGCGTGCCATTCGCCGGCCCAAGGGGCATCGCCCCCGCGGGCGGCCAGAGGCGCAACCTCGCTCAAGAATGACGCCCATCTCGAGCATAAAGCCGACGGATACTGACCCGCCAGGGCCGTGAGATTGCACCAGACGCAACCCCCAGAGCCATCAGGGACCCGAGCTTTACCCACCAGCTGTTCATGACGACGATGGGTACAGGGAGCCGCCAGGCCCCTCAGCTCCGGGATGTTCGTGAGCACCAGAGTCCACTTTTGATGAGGAGCACCATACGCACACATAGGAAATCGCACCCAAGACGCACCATGGAGTCCAGCGAGGCGACCAATAGGAGGGAAGCTCCAGAGCCCAGAGGTCATGGGGTTCTCGATACTCCAGCCCACTCCACAACGTTGACACTCACGTACAACTTCAGCGGTAAACAACGCGAACTCGACCCCGAGACGCTCCAGGATTTCAGCTCGATGAAGATTACGGACTCCTCGACGAGCGTTGCTCCAGGCCCTGCAAGGGGTCCCCAAGTGTACAGCCCAAACTCTTCCAGACCGAACCCAAGACCGGACGAGCAGTTGTGTTTTTCGCCTCGAGAGGTCGAACTCGGCACCCTTCTTGATGTCAAACGGGGCCGCTGTCCGCAGCCCAGCATGTCGCACGGCGGCGGTCAACCCCGCTGCGCCCGCGAACAATTCCAGAAAGACGCGTGCAAGCGAGGTGGAGGGAGGCGGTGGTGACTCGGCGTGTTCTCTGTGATCAGGAGGAGTGGACGAAGAGGATGGGCCCCCCTCCCCGACGCACGTGGACGGCAACCAAGGGGCAACAGGCTGTCGCTCCCTCTTCTTCTGCAGCAGCCACTCAGGGTCGCGGGCCTGGCCCCTCCTCGACCCCTCGTCGGCCGCATTCAGGTCTGTCGGGACGTGTCTGACCCGCCATCGAACACGACAGCCCACGCTGTAGGCGGCCGCCTTCCGGCACAACGAATTGAGGACGTGCGATCGAGCTCTGCCTTTGTCGAAGCAGCAGCAGCAAACAAGATTGTCGCAAAGGCTGAGGGCACGGTGCCCGTGGTGGGCGCGTGTCCGGCAAAAGCGCCTCAGGCCGGCCACGCAGATCCGGCCCTCCTTCACGTCGATGTGCTCGTCATACTTCCAACGACCCTCGACGGCAGTAGTCCACCCGAGGTCGCTGGCGAGGGCGGTCGGCAAGGCAGGCACGACGTTGAGCAGCTCCACCTCCTGGGTCAGACCAGGACGGCTAGCCCAGCGCCGCGGCGCGCCACGGCCGACAGCAGCGCGGCGAAACAGGAGCTTCCCCAGCTCGGTCTCGCGCCAGGCTCCTGCCGGCTGACCGCCTCGGACACGGGCGTCTGCATGCTTGTGGGCCCCCTCGTCCAGCGTGGCCCCGAAGCCGTCGGTGACACCGCGAAGCTGGTTGAGGTACGCCGCCGTGTAGGCGTCCGAACTCCTGTCGGCCTCCACCTCCACGAATCGCCAGCGCTCCCGCCAGCGATACGCACCCCAGACAGCACGAAGCGGCTTCCGCCCGTACATCAGGCAGAAACCGGAGGACGACGAATCCGAAACGCGGACCTCGTCGGCGAGGGGCGCACTCAGATCGACTTCGGTCAAAAAGCAGGCAATGGCGGCCATGCGAAGCTCCCCGCGGACTGGCGCAGGAAACGCCGCCCGCCGCCGGCTGCCGTCGCCGATGAAGTGGTAGACGCTCTGCAGGATGGACAGCAAGCAGGGCTGCAGCCCCAGGAGGGCCACGGCGTGCCCCGCCCAAACGCGGAGCTCGGCCCCTGTCGCGTGGCCCCGCTTCAGCAGGGCCTTGGTGGCGAAGTAGAAGCGCCAGACCCGCTTGGGCCTCTGGCGCACGCGGCGGTCGGTCCCGCACAGCACCAGGCCCAGGCTCTCCAGCTCCTCCACCGCTACGTCCGCGGCGTGCAGGGCCAGCCCCGCCTCGGCAGCCCGCTCCTCGAAAGCCCGCACCCCATGCTCGGCGTCGACGGCCGAGCCCCCCACGCCTGTGAAGTTGTCCACGTACACGGCGGCCAGAGGCCTCCCAGGGCGCAGGAGGGGCGCAGGTCGCTTGTCTCGAAGGAGTTGCCGATCTCCATCAGCAGCAGAGCGTCGAACCTGTTGAGTGACGGCCTCCTGGGCAAAGTAGAGTGCCCAGGCCCAGCCCATCGGCAAAACACGGAGGCAGGGGAACAGAACCTCGCCTGTCCGGGCGGGAGTCCAGCCCCCCACGTCGTCGCCCCACACGCGCGTGATGCCCATGTCCCAATCCTCGATGGTCGGCGCGGAGTCGAACCCGAACCAGCTGCCCATCTCCTCGTTGGCGAGCTGATAAAAAAAAACAATCCTTGACGTCGGCCCCTGAGAAGCGTGGCTCACAAACACCACCGAAGCCCCCCAGAGCCGTAGCGTAGCCGCTGAGGTCGATCTCCGAAAGGCAGGCAGCACCCCCCAGGACCGTCCGAGGAGGGAGACGATGGCACATGTTCGTCGCCCTCGCGTCGCAGATAAACCTGATGTTGCCGTCCTTCTTATGAGCGAAGAACGCGCCGCAACGGGACTTGATGGCCCGCCTGAAACCCACGATGCCGATCCTAGCAAGTCGGCGAAAAAAGTCACGTCGGAGCCCAGCATCACCGCGAAGCCGAGGATCCCAGTACGGCTCGGGCATACCCCCGGCCTCTCGGACACGCTCGGCGATCTCGGGCTCTGAGAGCTCGATCTGGCTCTGGAAGTGTCTCAAAAAACCTGCAGCCTCGGCGGGTAGCAAGTCCGTCGCGGGAACTGGGTTGATGTCCCCTTTACACACCCTGAGGCGCGAGACGCCGTAGCTCGCCAAATGCTGCGGCTCCAGTTCATACTGGTCAGTGGATCTGAGGATCTCCCGGAGGGACCTCTCGCCGTCCACCGCTTCGCTCGAGGGGTCCCCGTAGAAGTCGATCCGCTCCTGAACAGACTCCAGCACGCTACGCTGCACTGCTGTGGGAGGCCCCCCGCACGGCCTAACTCGTCGAGCTTTGTCGCATCCTGAATTCACACGTGAGGCGGCGAGGTAGTTGAGCATGTCAACCGCTTCGGAAACTCGCCGCTGCCTCTCAGTCCTGACTCTCCACCGTCGCGCAGTGGAGCGAGGGGCGCCAGACGGCCTTGCGTCGATAGCCACCTGCGGCAAGGGAAAAGGGTCGTTGTGAAGCCACTGTCCGCGAGGCCACCACTCTGTCTTGGTCTGGCCTCTGGCTCCACGTCGAGGGCGCCCACCGTCATCAGGCGCGGCAGAGCCCTGCTGGTGAGCGCCGAGGAACATCGTCATTCCCCGCCCCCCGAGCCTTCGCCCGGGGGGCCGCCCTTCTTCTTCTTGCCCTTGTCCTTCTCCTTGTCCTTCCGGTTGCGCTTCCCCCCGTCGTCCGAACGGCGCTCCCGCTCCAGCTCCTCTTTGTGTAACCTCATCTGCTTCAAAATGTTGGCACGGTCCTTCTGGCGGGCCACCGCAAACTCTGTGTATCTCGGGACGGCGGCAGAGCCCGATGCGCCCGTGGGCCCGCCGACGGCATCCTCAAGACCAGAAAAGTCTGGATGCCGTGGATTACGCTGTACTGCCATCTCGATCTGAATGACCCGCCTGACCAGAGCCTCCATGCAGTGGAGGTTCTTCACGTTGAGCTGATCCATGCAGATAGCGCGGCGGGCAATCTCCAGGAGCGAGCGGTGTTCATGGCACTGAGCACCCCCCGAGAAGACCCCGCTCATGCGCTCCCACTCGGCCTGGTAACTCGTGAGGTTCCCGCTGCCCACGGCCACCGACGCGACGAACTCGCCCATCGCGCGCGGCCCTAGGTCGGTGTAGTCGGCCAGCTCCACCTCCTCCATCTGCTCGACGGCGTCTCGGAAGTCCACGTCCCTGCGGCCGATCCTCGTCCGCTGGTCGCCGTTCAAGCGGATGTCGACGCAGCTCTCCTTGCGCTCCTTCATCCAGTCGTCCCTCTCCTCGCGGCTGATCAGCTCGATCATCCGCTCTTGCCCGTCCAGCATCACGATGCCCTTCCTCCGCAGGTGGGCACAACGATTCGGGTCCTCCACCGTATCAGCAGGCACCACCTCGCCGAACCTCGCATCCCGCGGCTCGGCGATCACCCAAGCGAGGTCCGCCTCATCCTCGGCGTCACCAGCCCCCAGCAGTGCCGCGCGCTGTCGGGCCTGGCGCTTCAGCTCAAGCAGCTCCCCCGAGTCGATGGGGTCGAAGGCATAGAGCCCGGCCAGAACCCAACGAGGGAATTGAGCATTCCGATCGAGGACATAGTGGCGCAGCTCGTTCAGGTTGTGTTGCGTGACCTCCATATCTGGCGTCAGGCACATCCAGCGCCCATCACCCATGGCATGCAGTAAAATCCGATGATGCCACGGCAGGGCATCCAGAGGGAAGTTCACGACGATCTGGGGCTCCTTTATGTCAAGCGAGCGCGGCCTGGCCGCCATCTCTCCTTGAGGCTGGCGTCACCACCAGCGCCCTCGCGGCCTCTGGTCCCGCGGCAGGCTCCACCACGTGACTGTCACGCAGAGCCTCGGGCGGGCACGCAGAGGCACTCGTCCCGCGAGCCGCGAGGCGGCCGACGTAGAGTCCGATGGCAGCACCGAGCACCAGCCCCGCCAGCGCGCAGCCCGTGGCCACGCCCGCGCCCAGCAGCAGCAGCCAGCTGCCCGCCTCCGGCTTCGGGCACGTGCACTCGCAGTGCGCAGCCGGGCAGGCCGGCAGAGGAGGCCCCGACGAGCACACCAGCTCGGGGCAAGCGGGAATCGCAGGCAGACTCGGACACTGAGCGGCGATCGCCGCGGTCTGGTAGTGAAGGCCAAGGGTGGTGAGGTCCCTGGCGGCCGCAAGGGCGGCTGGAGCCCACCCCCACATCAGAACTTGAGCCATCACAGTTGCAGTGACAGCAACACTGATGCAGACCGGTATGCTACACAGGGACTGGGAGAAACCACATCTACAGATTACTAATCGCATTTTTGGACGGTTCGAAAATGCGCTTTGGGCTTCCAGGGGTCCTCGGGGCCTCCAGGGCCGAACTGGGGACGGCGGCCGGGGCTGGGCCCCCACCATCCTGCGCGCGCCCGGTGAGGGCGCGGGCGGCGCCCTTGCCTTCCCAGTTGTCCTTTGGGATGACCCATGCCAGGAGTGGTCCGTACTGTCCCAGACCGTAGTCCAAGCGTTTTCTATCCTGGCGCTGAGGAATCGCCCGCTGTCGCCAGAGCCCCCTGGTCCAGGGGGCACGATGCTGTCGACTGGTCCGTCGAGGGCACCATGCGTAACGTCTGGGCCCAGTGGCTCCCCTGGCTCGTCGGGTGGCTGGGCCCAGTGGCTCCCCTGGCCCCAGGGTTCCTCCTGACTCCTGGTTGAACTGAACCTCCAAACGCCTCCATCTGATCATGCAGACGCACACGCGCACACGTCATCTGCAAGAACCGAGAGTCGAAATGGAACCGGCTGAAACGGAGCCGCCCTCTGAATGAAAACCGCCTCAAACAGCTCCGAAACTGGAAACGTACTGAACCGAATCAATGTCCCCCAACCCGAAACGAACCGAACGGAACTGGGGACACGCTGTCATCAGCATCTGCATCAGCATCAGCATCAGCAGCATCATGATCGTCACCAGCATCATCAGCATCATCATCAGCACCATCATCAGCATCAACATCAACATCAACATCAACATCAACACCAGTATCAGCATCAGCATCATCATCATCCTCGTCATCCTCATCAGCATCTGCATCAGCATCAGCAGCATAATTATCGTCATCATCATCATCATCATCATCATCATCATCATCATCATCATCACCAGCATTAAAATCAACATCAGCAGCATCATCAGTATCAGCGTCATCATCATCATCATCATCATCATCATGCTCATCCTCATCAGCATCAGCAGCAGCAGCATCATCATCGTCATCATCATCGTCATTATCATCACCAGCATCATCACCATCATCAACATCAACATCAACATCAACATCAGCATCAGCATCAGCATCATCATCATCATCATCATCATCAGCAGCAGCAGCAGCAGCAGCAGCAGCATCAGCATCAGCATCAGCATCATCATTCGCCACCGTGTCTCGAGGCGCGCAGTGGAGTTTCTCCAGGTCCTCGTGTGTTCTCTGCTCTCTGTGCTCAGGACGGGGGGATTCTAGTATTCCAGGGGCCAAGGCCCCACATTTCCAGATTTTCTTGGGGTTCCTGCGCGCTCCCGGGCTGCCCCGCGTGACCCTTCCAGCGGCCAGAGGGGCCCCAAGACGGGCCCAGAGGGCCCCCCCAAAGCGCCCAAGAGACCCCCACGACATCCCAAGAACGCTCCAAGACGCCCAGTATGGCCCCAAGCCAAGACGGCCCAAGAAGCCCCAAAGAAACCCCGAGAGCGCTCCAGGAGGACCTCCAAGAGGGCCCACAGATGCAACAACCCGTGATGTTCATTATGTTGTTCAATGGGTTTCGCGTTCTCGTTTTTTCCAGCTTCGGACGCTCCAAGATGGCCCCAGAAGCCCCCAAGACCGCCCCAAGACGGCCCAAAAAAGCCCCCAAGAGGGCCCCAAAACGGCACAAGAAGGCCCCACAACGGTACAAGAGGCGCCCAAGACGGCCCAAAAGATCCCAAGACTGCCACAAGAGGGGCCCACGAGGAGGAACACGAACTGACAATTCGAGCCTTCCGCCCCGAGAGGCCCCCAGGATGCCCCAGGATGCCCCCAAGAGGCCCCAAGAGGCGCCCAAGAGGCCCCACGAGGCCTCCAAGAAGCCCCAAAAGAGGCCCCCGAACGGCCCTCAGGAGGCCTCATGACTGTTTCCAGGAGACACCCGAGAGGCCTGCCACGATATCCCACCGAACATCCAAGAGGCCTCTAACCCACGCACGGTGGCGGGATGCGCCGAAGGCCACTAGACCTGGCCCGGCACAAGAATGGAAAGAGCGCTTCAAGAAAATGACCCGAAGTCGTTCATGGCAGCGTTCGCTCTTGAAACCTTGGTGTGAAGAACTGGTTACGATACCTCTTGCTCTTGGGAGCCGCGATTTGAACAAATTTTAGGACGCCGTCCGATCTTGAGATCGGAGCCAGTGTCGAAGTCTCTGATGGGCCGTTTTGGGACCTCTTATGGGCCTCGTAGGAGCCTCTTGGGGCATCTTGGGGGCCTCTTGGGGGCCTTGGTGTTCAGAGATTGTTACGTTGCCGCCCGTTCCTGAGCCTTGGCTGGGCCTTGGTGTCAAGAACTTATGGGCCGTTTGAGGGCCTCTTTTGGGGCTCTTGGGGGCCTCTTGGGATATCCTGGAGGCCTCTTGGGGGCCTCTTGGGGCTTCTTGGGGGGCTCCTGGGGCCTCCTGGGAGCTTCTTGGGGCGAAAGGCTTGACTGTTCGGTTCGTGGTCCCCTTTTTGCGGCCGTCTTGGGGCCCTCTTGGGCCGTCTTGGGCGCCTCTTGGGCCGTCTTGGGGCCCTCTTGGGCCGTTTTGGCGGCCTCTTGTGACCCTCTTGGGCCGTCTTGGGGCGAACTTGGGGGCCTCTCGGACCGTCTTCAACGCCGTGAAAGCCGAAAAACCGTGCACGCTAAAAATGCATGTTTACAGTAAGAAATCAATGATTTTGACCTCCTGGAGGCCTCTTGGGACGCCTCTTTGGGGCCTCTCGGGGCTTCTTGAAGGCCCAAGAGGCCTCCAAGAGGTCCCCCAGGAGGGCCCGAAGAGGCCAAAAGTATAGATTGTCCGTATGTTGTTGAAGGAGTTTGGCATTCGCTTCTTCTCGGCTTTCCGACGGCCCAAGACGGCCCAAGAGGCCCCCAAGATCGCCCCCACAGCGCCCAAGAGGCCTCCAAGATGGCCTCAGGATTGCCCAAGAGGCCCCCAAGACGGCCCCAAGAGGCCCCCAAGAGGGCCCAGGATGCGTTTAAGACGCCCAAGACGGCCTCTAAGACGGCCCCCGAGCACCCCAAGACGGCCCCAAGTCGGCCCAGAAAGGCTCCCCAAACGGCTTCCGACGGGCCAGGAGCCCACCAAGATTGCCGAAGTTGGCTCGAAGCTGGCCCAAGAGGCCTCCAAGAGGGCATCCTGGAAGGCCCGAAAAGGCAAAAAAACACTAATCTCCATATTTTCGACGGATTTTGACATTTGCTTCGTTTCGGCCTTCCGACGGCCCGATACGGCCCAAGAGCCCCCAAAGATCGCCCCAAGATCGCCCAAGAGGCCTCCAAAATGGCCCCAGAACGGCCCAGGAGGCCCCCAAGGCGGCCCCAAGAGGCCCCCAAGACTGCCCAGGAAGCTTTTAAGACGCCCAAGATGGCCTCCAAGACGGCCCTGGAGCATTCCAAGAGGGCCCGAAGTCGGCTCAGAGAGGGCCCCCCAAACGGCTTCCGACGGCGTCGGACGGGCCAGGGGCCCACCAAGACGACCGAAGATGGCACTAAGATGGCCCAAGACGGCCCAAGAGGCCTTCAAGAGGGTCTCCAGGAAGGCCCGAAAAGGCCAAAATCATTGATTTCCCCATGAGTGTTGGAGGATTGTGGCATTTGTATTTTTTGTTCGGCCTTCCGACGGCCCGAGACGACCCAAGAGCCCCCAAAGATCGCCCGAGAGGCCCAAGACGGCCCAAGAGGCCTCCAAGACGGCCGAAGAGGCCTCCAAGACGCTCAAGATGGCCTCCAAGACGGCCCAAGAGTCTCCAAGACGTTCTCCAAGAAGGCCCGAAAGGGTCAAAATAGCCTCCAGGCGGCCAATCTGACCTTCAAGATGCCCACGTGTTCCCCGAAGGCTTTCCAAACCGACTCGGGGAACACATGGTCCGATAGCTTGGCAAGTCTGGCCTCAACGTTCGGCCACATAGGCGCTTCCAAAAAGGCAGGGGGCGGCGGTGATTCGCCGTAGGCGTCTTCGATATTTCTCCTCTTCTTGTCTCAGCGTTCCATCGCGCCCTCGCTGCCTGCCAACCTGCCTCCCTTCTATGTCTCCTCTTCCACATTGTGCTGCCTCCCTCCGTGCCTCCGTACCTGTCGCCCCTCCTGCTCTGATGCCCACCTTGCCCCCTGCCTTCTCTGGCGCAGCATCGGTGCTGGCCTTCTTTTTTTTCTTCTCCTTCTTCTTCTTGCTCGAGCGGGAGGTCTCGAGCCCTGGAGCGCGCGCCGACTCTTGCACGCACCGTGGAGCAGTGCAGGAGCTGGTGGATGTCGGGAAGGACGAAGACAGGGAAGGCAAGTGACGAACGCAGATGCCAAACAAACACTTTTTTGGTCGGCGGGGCGAGAGCGAACCTCTTCCGCTAAAAGCTAGGCGGGCTACGCACAGCTTTAATCAGGGAGACAGGGCACAGGAGGGCGGGGTATGCCAAACAGACGCGCAGGCACACAGCCAACCCACCAGAGACGCCTGGCCACCCCGGGCTGGGCCAGCGCGCGTCAGGACTCTGCTGGAACCCCCCGGGGGCGAAGCCAAGCGGCGACGGCTTGCACGCATAGCAGCACCCCGGGACGGCGAGGTCCCGCTTAAGCCTGCATGTGCCACCGCGCCGCGGTGCCCCCTAGTGCTGCAGGAGGAGGAGGAGACGGAGGAGGAGGAGGAGGAGGAGGAGGAGGAGGAGGAGGAGGAGGAGGAGAGGAGGACGGAGGAGGAGGAGGAGGAGGAGGAGGAGGGAGGAGGAGGGAGGAGGAGGAGGAGGAGGAGGAGGAGGAGGAGACGGAGGAGGAGGAGGAGGAGGAGGAGGAGGAGGAGGAGGAGGAGGAGGAGGAGACCCCCAGGAAGCTCCAAGAGGCTCCCACGAGGCTCCCGAGCGGCCCCCAAGAGCTTCCCAAGAGGCCCCCAAGCTACCCCCAAGAGGCCCCCGAGAGCGCTCTCGTCGTCATCGTCGTCGTCGTCGTCGTCATTCAGGCCCGACGGCACCGGCCGTGAGGCCTTCGCAAGATCTACCACATAAGATCGGTGACTTCTGCTCAACGTGTCGCCTGGTCGGCCCGCGGCGACGCGCTCCGCCCCGCAGGCGGACAGCGCATCGCCCCGCTCCGCGGGGCGGGAGGCCGGGAACGGCTCGGGGCGTCGACGCTCGGGAGCTGGGGCGTGCTTGGCGCGTCGCGCCGCAGCGTGGTGGGTCGGCACCGGCGGAGCGACGCGCGAGGCAGAAGCTCCTGGCCGCAAGACCATGCGGGCCACACGCAAGCGCGCGTGCCAACTCACAGGAGCAACTGGCTTCCTGCGCGTGCCGAGCTAGACATATCAGAAACGATCCCCTTTCGATCGATAGGCTGCTGGGGATTCTGCGCGCGCGCTCGTGTCGACTGCACAAACATTCTCCCGAGGGTAGCTGTAGAGCGCATCCCTGCCCACGCGGCGCACGAGAACTGGAGAACGGACTGAGGGGACGCCTTCCCTGGACGTTGAAGGAGTTGCACCTGCTCCTCCAGAGGAGGAGGGAGGATGGAGGAGAGGTTGGAGAGCAGGAGGGATGTATGAGACAAAGAGCAACTGAGAGGAGGAAGGAGGGAGGAGAGAAGGGCACCGGAGGCATCTGGGGACCGACCGGCAGTCTAGGTGCCGCGGGGGCACTGCAGGGTGGCGCCTGGGCGCCGCTAGTGGTGAAACAATGCGACAACAACAATATTCGATACATCAAATTGTCTGGAAGGGAGACAGGGAGGGGGAGGAGGAGGCAGACGGCGACGGCGACAGTAGACAATTAGCCGCGCAACCTTGGCCACTCACTGTTGTGTATACCCAGACTCTGAATTGTCCCACGTGTCCGTCCCTGCGAGTCGTACTAACCCTGCAACATTTTTCGGCGCGTCCTCAACACACTGTCTCATGTAGGATAATCTGTCGTCCCGCATATGGGGACCTCTGCAGACTTCCAAGTGGCAGACACGTGGAAGGAGTGTGGGGGGGAAACGAACACATGACCAGCCCAACAGCTGTAAAACAACCCACCTTCCAAAGAGAGGAGCGGATTTTGCAGCGTCGACTTGCTCGTCAAAGCCGACTGTGTGAGCAGCCGTTCCGAGGCAGACATCCGGCGGCTTGTTCCGTCGAGGAAAAAACAACCCTCTCAGCCCCCAGAGGCGACTGTATCACCTCGAGTCCTACTTTGCTCACCCAGGGCCCAGAACCAGCCTCCAGAGGCCGAGAACGGTGCGCCGAAGTGCCGCCCCGATGTCCCAGAAGCGCCCGACGTGCGCACGCCCGGCCGAATAGGTCGACCCCGGGCCTCCGGGGGCGCGCTATGTGCGGTGGCTCGAGCTGCGTCCAGCAGTGGAGCCGGAGGTGCCCCCGAGAAGTCGGGGGCGCGCAAACGTGGATTAGCGATCCACGGAGTTGGCGCGCGGTCGCCTGATCCATGGATCGGGGGAGGTGCCCTCCCCCGAATGCGGCCGGCGCCGCCTCGCTCGGCGGCGGGAATCCGCGATTTCCCGTGGAACCGGGACCAGTCGCTAATCCACGCCCCCTTGATCCATGTTCGCGATCGCCTGATCATGGATGGGCAGCTCCTCCTCCTCCTCCTCCTCCTCCTCGTCCTCGTCCTCCTCCTCCTCCTCGTCCTCGTCCTCGTCCTCGTCCTCCTCCTCCTCCTCCTCCTCCTCCTCCCCCTGAGGGAGGAGCCACCAAATAGGGCCACAAGCCATCCCAAATCCTTGGCCCCCTCTCCTCGACTCAGCGTGGGAGCTCGTCGCGCCCCCAGTTTTCGAGATCCTCAGCTCTCCGTGTCCTGCTCTGCGGCGGCGCGGCGACATACGGGAGCCTCCCATACCATCATCCTGTTGGCTCTTGCGGATCGACGCCAAGTCTACGCCAAGTCTACGCCAAGTCGATGCGAATCAGTGCTTTTCGACGCCCAGTCGGGCCTACTTCGTGGATTCCAAGGCGCTAGTCCACGTCAGTGCGCTCTGAAGACGGAGCTGCGCAGGTATACGAGGCTCCCATGGTTTGCCGCCGAGCTGTCCCCTATCCTCTGCCCTGCGGGGCAACGATATGCGGGGGGGACTGGCAGAGGGGGGGAACCATCGACCTGGAATCGGCGACGCATCGCCGATCGATGATCGGCGACAGGCCCCCGATCGCAAATCCGCACGTTTCTGGGCAGGTGGGGGCTATCGCGCCCCATATCGGCGACGAGTGGGCAAGGCGGGGGTCGATGCATCCCCTCCGTATGCCTATCCCCCCCCTGCCGCTGCCCCTGATCTATCCCTCTGTCTTCGATGCTCCATCCTCGATCCGGTCTGAGATCTTGCCGCCCACCTGATGCTCGCTCCTCCACACCCTCTCCCCGCCCCTCTGTCCTCATCTGCCCTCCACCCTCCATCCTCGAGCCATCCTCGACCTGTCCTCTGTTCCGGATCTACCCTCTATCCGCGATCCTCAACCCTCGAACTACAGTCAACCCGCACAGTAAGATGGGCAACCTTCCCAAGGGTACCCTTGCATCTTTGCCTACTTATTCGGTCAATCATTCGCCACTTTCGTGGGCCGCGCCCTGCTCGAAAAGCTTCGAACTTCACGTCCAAGGCCCTTGCATCCTTATCGCGCATCCTTACTATACGGGTTGACTGTACTCTCGATCCTCGATCTGTCCTCCCCACTCCTCAGCGAGGCAGCCACGTGCGAACCCTGCCCCTGCAGCCCAGGCTCCTGAAGCGCCGGCTGGGGTCCAGAGTTCGAAGGATGTCTGTACCCGTCGTTAATCTCTAATCGTGCTCGTTTCTAAGTGTGCTCGTTTCTAATTGTTCCTGACCCCCTAGTGGCCAGGAAGAGGCCCAGGATAGAACAACTAGAAATGAAAGGATCTTGCCGCCCCAACAAATCAAAGAACTTTCGAAAAATTAGGCATGAACGATGTGTAGCTGAGTGAACCCCATCGGGGGTGTCCGATACCCCCTGAGATCTGACATTGCGAACAAAAGCATGCAACTCCACGAAACATCGCGCCCAGAGCCCTCGACCCTATCTTTATGCTCCATTTCTCGAGCCCGTCCGATCCGAGAGGGTCCGGGGTCAAAGAACTGGGCGAAGACGCCAGGCGTGAAAACAAAGCGGCGACGCCCTGATTGCAGGGCCCCAGCACTGGTTGGACCCGCAGGGGTAGTGTTCGCACGTGGTCGCAGATCAAGTCGAGCCGCGCCCCCGGTGCTCGCGGGCGGGGGGTGGGGGCGACGTGATCCTCTATCTTGCGCTCGATCCTCGATCCTCGACCTATCCTCGATCCTGTCATCGATCCTCGATCCTCGATCCTCGATCCTCGATCCTCGATCTATCCTGCGCTCGATCCTCGATCCTCGATCCTCGATCCTGGACCTATCCTCGATCCTCGATCCTCCCCACCTCGATCCTCGATGCTGTCGTCGATCCCGTCTTCGATCCTGCCCTGGATCCCGTCGTCGATCCCGTCCTCGATCCTGTCCTCGATTCTGCCATCCGTCCGGCCCTCCGGACGAGGAGGAGGCGGAGGAGGAGGAGAAGGGGGAGGAGGAGGAAGAAGAAGAGGAGGAGGAATGGGAATGGGAATGGGATCAATGACGTAGTCATAAAGAAGAAGAGGAGGAGGAGGAGGAGGAGGAGGAGGAGGAGGAGGAAGAGCAGGAGGAGGGGGAGGGTTGGAGGAGGAGGCGGAGGAGGAGGAGGAGGAGGAGGAGAGGGGGAGGAGGAGGGGAGGAGGAGGAAGGAGGAGGAGGAGGAAGAGCAGGAGGAGGAGGAGGAGGAGGAGGAGGGAGGAGGAGAAGGCAGGAGGAGGAGGGGGAGGAGGAGGGAGAGGAGGAGGAGGAGGAGGAGGAGGAGGAGGAGGATCGAGGCTCGACGCCGCACACCCCCGGGGCCCCGCGGCGGGGGCGGGCGGCGCCCGCCGTGGTCCGAGCCGGGCTGCCGCTCGGAGGGGTGCGGCTCGGCGGCGGGGGAGCCCCAGGAGTCGGCCGGCGGCGAGGGGAAGGCCTGCGGGGGCGAGGCATCACCATCAGCATAATCATCATCATCATCATCAGCATCATCATCATCATCATCATCATCATCATCATCACCATCACCATCACCATCACCATCACCATCACCATCACCATCATCATCATCATCATCATCATCATCAGACTCCTCCTCCTCCTCCTCTCCTCATCACTCATCATCATCATCGTCATCCACTAACCATCACATCACCATCACATCACCATCACCATCACCAATCACATCACCATCACCATTCATCATCATCATCTTATCATCATTCTTCTCCGCATCATCATATCATCATCATCACTATATCTTCATCACCATCACCATCAGCATCATCATCATCATCATCATCATCATCGTTTCCATCACCATCACCATCACCATCACCATCACCATCACATCACCATCACCATCACCATCACCATCACCATCACCATCACCATCACCATCACCATCACCATCACCATCACCATCACCATCACCATCACCATCACCAGCACCATCACCATCACCATCACCATCACCATCACCATCACCATCATCATCATCATCATCATCATCATCATCATCATCATGATCATCATCATCATCATCATCATCATCATCATCATCATCACCATCACCTTCACCATCACATAACCATCACCATCACCATCACCATCACCATCACCTTCACCATCATTCATCATCATCATACATATCATCAACATCATTCATCATAATCATTGTTCAAGTCATCATCATCATCATCATCATCATCATCATCATCATCATCATCATCATCATCATCATCATCATCATCAGAGAGAGCGTGATCCACCGCCGCTTTACTGTGGAAAATTGCCAACCTTTTCCTCCAGAACCCGGGGGTCTCCCCCCCCCCCCTCCGAAAATCCCCGCCCCCATGCTGGACCCCCCCCCCTCTTGTTGACCCCCCCCCCCGCTTCCCCCGGGGCAAATTCCCCCCCTTACCCCCCCCCTCCCCCCACCTCCCCCCACCCACCCCTCTGAAAACCGGAGGAGGGGGTCACTACCGGTCGATTACCCCCACTCGGAAACTGGAGGGGGGGGGTATACGGTTTCTAACCCCTTCCACCCCCCCTCTCACCGCCAGAAACGACTCCTGGTCCTACCACCGTCCTCTCCATCATCCCCCACTGTGTTCCCAGCTCCCCACCACTCACCACACTGTACCACTGTTTCTACACCGGCCCCTACTGTCCCCTCCGTGCCACCACACAGTACGCACTGTCCCACTGTTCCCTCCACTGTTCCCACCACAGGTTTCCACCTCCCAACTTTCGCCACGGCCCCAACCACTGCCCGACTATCCCCACTGTCCCACTGTCCCACTGACTCCTCCGCTGTCCCACTGAGCTGTCCCACTGTTCCCACCACTGTCCCCTCTGTCCCCACCACTGTCTCCACTGTACCTCTGTCCCATTGTCCCACCGCCGTCCTCGCCACCGCCTTCACCACTGTCCCCACCACCACTGTACCCTCCACTGTCCTACTGTTTCCACCACAATCCCACTGTCCCCACACCACTGTCCCCCACCACCACCGTCCCCACCACTGTCCCACTGTCCCCACTGTTCCCACCATTGTCCTCACCATTGTCCCCACCACTACCGTCCCCACCACTGTCCCACTGTCCCCAACACTGTCCCGCTGTCCCCTCACCACTGTCCCCACCCCCACCGTCCCCACCACTGTCGCACCCCCCCCTTGGTGTTCGAGGGGGGGGGGGGTTCGAACCGGTGGTGACCCCCCCCCTTTTCATGATGAACTGGGGGGGGGGAAGGGGTTCGAACCGGTAGTGACCCCCCCGGTGTTCCGGAGGGGGGGGGGGAGGGGTTCGAACCGGTAGTGACCCCCCCGGGTTTTCCGGAGGAGGGGGGGGGGGGAGGGGTTCGAACCGGTAGTGAACCCCCCCGGTTTTCGGCCAGCAGCGGTAGAACACGCTCTTTCCATCATCATCATCATCATCATCATCATCATCATCATCATCATCATCATCATCATCATCATCATCATCATCATCATCATCATCATCATCATCATCGGCATCGGCATCGTCATCGTCATCGTCATCGTCACCGTCACCATCACCATCACCATCACCATCACCATCATCATCGTCATCATCATCATCATCATCATCATCATCATCATCATCATCACCATCAGCATCAGCATCAGCATCAGCATCAGCACCACCATCACCATCATCACCATCGTCATCATCATCGGCCGCGAGCAGCGGGCAGCGGCGAGGCGCCCAGGAGCGAGGACGCCACGCTCTCGCCGAGGAGGCCCGCCGGAGGCGGGGGCCATCGGCGCCCCTGGATGCACGCGGTGCTCTCCCCTAGGCTGCAGTGGAGGCCAATCTGCCAGAAGCCTTCCACAAGAGACTCAACCCTGGGACCCCAGGGCGTCCATCGAGCTTCTGCGTGGGAGCGTCACGCTGTCCATAGCAAAACCATCGGAACCCAAGAAACCCGGAGCACCCTGGAGGCGAGCAGGGTGCTTCTTGGCATGGGCCTCCACTGTCTTCGCCCCCACCGTCGCCCCTTCGCAAGGCTCCACGCCGCGCGGCGCTCCTGGAAGCGAGCAGGCAGGCGAAGTCCAAGGGCCTGGCGAGTTCGAAGATCCGCCGACCCCGTCGGCGTGTGCAAATAGCCTTTTCCGTTCGAGTCGGTGCCCTCGTCGTCGTTGTCGCAGTCACCGCGCCCCCCTGTCCCTGTCCCTGGGCCTTCCCCTTGTTAGGTCCCAGCCAAAGAGAAAGCGAGCAACGTCGCAATCGAGTCGAAGGGAAGCCCTGTCCCTTCGAGCACTTCCCCGCCGGGGAGGGGGAGTGGGACGGGGGGGGTGGGGGGGTGGCCAGGGGTTGCGACCCCCCCCCCATGGGGGAGCACCCCTCCCTGGGAGAAGCTTTCCCCTTCGATCCCTTGCCTCCCAGCTGCCTCGGGCTCCCCTTTCAGGGTCGGCGGCACCGGCCAGAAGGCCTTCACAATCTCGAGGAACGCTACCACGCGGAGAGATCAGGTCGCAAACGTGTTCTCGCACAGCTGGGCAATGCAGTCAAGCATGGACATCCCAGCGAACCCAAGTTGGCCACGAAACCCGCCCGAAAAGTGTCCTAAAGAAGGGTGTTGATCAGTGGGCGAATGCTCATCCCAACCTGTCGGGCACGACCCCCCCTCCCTGAGGCCCTGGCGCTGCATTTTTTCTTATAGCGGGCGATGCTACCTCACTTCAGGGCCTGGGACCCTCACGGATCGATGCGACTCGAAAGATGCGGCAGACAGATGGGGTCCAGAGCTCAGGTCGTGATGCTTCGCGACGCCGCACTGCTTCGCGGCGTCGGATCTCAGGGCATGTGGCTTAGAAATCCGTGGATCTGGCGCGCTGGCGCCAGGTCCACGGCTCGGGAAGGCACCCCCGAAACGCGAGGCCGGCGCCGCCCGATGTGGCGACGGAGCGCACCGATTCTGTAACGGCAGCGGAGTCCGTCGCTGATCCACGCGCCCGAGTCCACGTCTGCGCCTGCTCAATCCCGGCCCTGTCTGAGACGCTTGCGATACTCTGCTGCCCGTCCCTCCTGCTGCTACAGTGGGCGCGTCTGGCGGCCTCGGGGGGCCTCCGGGTACCTCTGGGAAACCTCTGGAGACTTCCAGAGGCCTCCTACTGCTCCTTTAGCCTCCTCCTCATCTACTTCCCGGCCGTGTTCTCGCCCTCCTCGCCTTTCATAGATCCCATCTTCCGCATCCTCCTCCGCCTACACGTCCTCCTCCACCTCGTCCTCCTCCTCCTCCTCCTCCTCCTCCTCCATCATCATCATCATCATCATCATCATCATCATCATCATCATCATCATCATCATCATCATCATCATCATCATCATCATCATCATCATCATCACCATCATCATCATCACATCATCATCATCATCATCATCATCATCATCATCATCATCATCACCATCATCATCATCATCATCATCATCATCATCATCATCATCATCATCATCATCATCATGATGATCATCATCATCATCATCATCATCATCACCATCACCATCACCATCACCATCACCAGCATCATCATCACCACCACCACCATCATCATCATCAGCAGCAGCATCATCAACATCATCATCATCATCATCATCATCGCAAACAGTATCAGCATCGTCATCATCATCATCATCAACACCACCATCATGATCATCATAAGCATCATCATCATCATTACCATCATCACCATCATCAGCATCCGCAGCCTCATCATCATCATCATCATCATCATCATCATCAGCATCATCAGCATCATCACCATGATGATGATGATGATGATGATGATGATGATGATGATCATCATCATCATCATCATCATCATCATCATCATCATCTTTATCTTCATCATCATCATCATCATCATCATCATCATCATCATCATCATCATCGTCACCATCATCAGCATCAACATCATCACCAAGGCCATCCTGGAAATCATGTAACGCATCAGTATCATGGTCTCCTGCTGTTCTCGGGCGTTGCTTGATGGGGGTGCGATACATTGGGGGGAGGAGGAACGTTCACCTGCCGTACCCCGTTTGGGCCCCAGGGGGCCCATTTAGGACCCTAAAGTGCACGAGAGATGCACCTTTCTGCACCCCCCCATTGATCGTCCCCCCCCCCCATAGCCAACGCCCGACCTGCTGCTTTGAGGAACGCGCCTGGCCGCCGACGCCCCCCGCCCCCCCGCTCCAAGCGGACCTCCTCGGGGAAGCCGCCGCCGCCGAAGCCGCTCGCGCCGCCCCCCTGCACGCCGCGGCGACGACGGCGACGACGACGACGTGTTCATCCCTGTCTTGCTCCTTATCCTCCACACTCCTCCTCCTCCTCCTCCTCCACCTCCTCCTCCCCCTCCTGCTCCTGCTCCCTCCTCCTCCTCCTCCTCCTCCTCCTCCACATCCTCCTCCTCCTCCTCCTTCCTCCTCTTCCTCCTCGTCCGTCCTCCTTCTCCTACTTCTCCTGCTGCTGCTCCTCCTCCTCCTCCTCCACTCCTCCTCCTCATCCTCCTCTTCCTCCTCCCCTCCTCCTCCCTCCTCCTCATCCTCCTCCTCTACCGAAGCAGACCCAACATGTGCCAACGATGCTGCAGAATACCTTCATGTCCCCAGGACGAGGAGAGGAGGAGGAGGAGGAGGAGGAGGATGAGGAGGAGGAGGAGGAGGAGGAGGAGGAGGAGGAGGAGGAGGAGGAGGAGGAGGAGGAGCAGGAGCAGGAGGAGGAGCAGGAGCAGGAGGAGGGGGGGGAGCAGGAGGGAGGAGGAGGAGGAGGAGGAGGAGGGGAGGAGGGAGGAGGGAGGAGGAGGAGGAGGAGGAGGAGGAGGAGGAGGAGCGGAGGAGGAAGGAGCAGGAGGAGGAGGAGGAGGAGGAGGAGGAGGAGGAGGAGGATCCCCTCCTCAGTAGCCTCCGCAAACATTATGCTTCACTGCGCGAGGAGACCCCCTTGAAAGACGAGGGCACCACGGGTCCACGGGGCCGCAGTTCGGGCGGGAGCTCCGTTTTAAAAGAGAGTGTCCTCCCTGCTCCTCCTCAACCTGCTTCTCCTCCTCCTCCTGCTCCTTCTCCTTCTCCTGCTCCTCCTCCTCCTCCTCCTCCTCCTCCTCCTCCTCCTTCTCCTGCTCCTTCTCCTGCTTCCCCCTGTTCCTGCCGCTCTCCCCAGCCCCAGGAGCGAGACCCACCCCCGATCCACGTCGGGCAGGGACGACTCTCGGTCGGAACGCTCCGCGACGCGGCCAGACCAACGACAGGGCGGGCGCATGCTTCCGTTGCGTCGGCTTCCGGGGATCTCGACCCTTTCTCTGGAGGATCGCTTTCCTAGAGGGCTCCTAGATGGGGTCGGAGTAGATGGGGTCGGAGGATCGCGCCGCATCGCGGATACACCGGCGATGCATCGGCGATGCTCTGGCGATGCATCGAGGAGGCATCCGCGACGTCGACGTGAAGCAAATCGGGCTGCACCTCGAGCCGCATCGGCGATGCATCGGCGCTGCGGCGCGATCCTCCGACCCCATCTTCTCCGACCCCATCTTCGGGAGCGGCCAAGAGGGGGGTGTCCAAGAGGGGGGTGCAAATCATGGCCGGCGGCATGTGCGCTGCCCAGGGGGGGGCCCTGGACGTATTGAAATAAGAAGAGCCGCCCTGAAATCTGGGGAAATATCATGGCCCCCGCCACGATACCCACCCACCCCTAGTCATCACCCCCCTCTTTGCCGCCCCCGACATCTAGGAGGCCCACACTTCCATCCCGAATCGTTTGCTGCTGGCCACGGGGGCCGGGCCATGGCCTCCGGGTGCGAAGAGCACGAAACACAGTGGCCGTGGCGAGGTCTGGCGTCGCCCAGATCCGAGGGTCGCCCGCCCCCAATCGACGCCAGGAGGAGGAGGAGGAGGAGGAGGAGGAGGAGGAGGAGGAGGAGGAGGAGGAGGAGGAGGAGCAGGAGGAGCAGGAGGGAGGAGCAGGGGAGGAGGAGGAGGAGGGGGAGGAGGAGGAGAGGAAGAGGAGGGAGGAGGCGGATGAGGAGGAGGAGGAGGAGGAGGAAGAGGAGGAGGAGAAGGAGGAGGCGGGCTGCGCCTGTTCGTCTTGGCCACAGCACAGGTTGCAGTGAAGCCGTGTCGGAAGGATGCGCGGTAAGGGGCGCACGGGCCTCGGAGGCCCGCGTGGACGCTTCTCGAGCGAGGCTGGCCAGCGGAAGTCTCGATCAGCTACTCGCAAGAGCGACCCTCCTCCTCCTCCTCCTCCTCCTCCTCCTCCTCCTCCCTCTCCCCCTCCTCCTCCTCATCCTCCTCTCCTCCTCTCCTCCCTCCTCCTCCTCCTCCTCCTCCTCCTGCTCCTCTCCTCCTCCCCCTCCTCCTCCTCCTCCTCCTCCTCCGACCCCCCCCGGGTAAGAGTGACCTTTGGTGCGCGGCTTTTGGGGGGCCGCGGGGCGACCAAGCACAAGCGCGCAAGACGCTACTATCGCACCGCGTTCGACGGTCGGGGCACCCCGGTGGGCCCGCACCAAATGTCACTCCGGCGAGTCGCTAAGGATGGACCGAAGAGGCAAGGATGCAAGGGTACCATGCCGGCTGACTGTAAGATCGCCCGCCTCCCAGCGACGCCAGGGGGCGGGCTGCGCCCCTTCGTCTTGGCCACGGCACAGATTAAGCGAACTCGGGTTTAGCCCCCAAAACGGCCCTGACGGGACTCTGAGTGTGGCTCCAGTCGTAGAGATAGCACAATACAGCATCAGCGCCGCTCACCCGATTAGCTCGCATGCGACTGACATCGCACGGCAGCTTGTCGGCACTGGTGCAGACGACCTGTGCAAAGCAGCATGCCCGATCGTGCGAGGCCGGCAAGAGACAACGCGGGCAGCGTGGTTGCCACGAACGCCGAGGGGGGAGAGAGGGAAGGACGAGGAGGAGGAGGAGGAGGAGGAGGAGGAGGAGGAGGAGGAGGAGGAAGGTAGGACGAAGCAGGCAGGCAAGAACACTGAAGCGAGCTGCGGCGGCAGCCAGCAAGCATGGACCACCGGGCGCACGACAGATGGGCCACGAAAGGGCACCGGCAAAGGACTGCACGCACCGGCACCTGCAGGAGGCAGAGGAGGATGGAGGCGAGGAGGAGGAGAAGCGGGAAAGCGGGCGGACAAACGCCCAAGCGCACAAAACTAGACAGGTGGTCATGCGAACGTGGGCGAACGTGGTCGCAATTCCCTTGACCGGCGTCTGGACGCCCCGGGTATTCAGGCGAATGCCGCAAAGCAGCGCCAGGAGGAAGAACGGGAGGGGGAAACAGGGAAAACGCAGCCGGGGGGGACGAGACAGAGGACAACACATGTGAAAAGGCGGCTCCAACCGGCGGGCGCTGGAGGCCCGCTGAGTAATAGCGGCCCGCCCAGCGGGAGTGCCCGACACATGTGCGCGCACATCACGAAATCGTGCCGAACAACCGCCCCGGGGTGGGGGGCATGAGGAGAAGGAGGGAGGGAGATAAGCACACGCAGCCGCCCTCAGTCCTTGCCGGAGGCGGAGGAAGGGAGGTAGAAGGATGAGGAGGAGGAGGAAGACTGACTGACTGACTGATGAATCGGACCCAACGTGTCGTCACGACCTTGCAGCTACACTACCTTGCAGAGTGTACTATATCAGTCTGACATCTGGGTCTATCTGGGAAGCCCCATCACTCGCACAGGTGCGCAAGCGTCACAAAATACGCATTGGCCCTGCAGGCAGGCCACTCCCGCACTCGGTCAGGCTGGCCGCCTGCGGGCACTCGAGAGTCGAAATTGCTACACAGTGCTCTGCTGTTTACCTCCGAGCGGAGGCTTGGCCAAAATATCCCGCCAGGCGTTCGCGTGCAGTCAGCGTAGACATACGCATTGGCCCTGCAGGCAGGCCACGCCCGCACTCGGTCAGGCTGGCCGCCTGCGGGCACTCGAGAGTCGAAATTGCTACACAGTGCTCTGCTGTTTACCTCCGAGCGGAGGCTTGGCCAAAATATCCCGCCAGGCGTTCGCGTGCAGTCAGCGTAGACAAAACATTTAGATTGCCTCGCTTCCGACAGATGTGCCGCCTGAGTGTAGTCTAGGCTCCGATAATTTTCCTTTACGCCCCCTGCCCTTGCCCTTCTGCGGACGTGGTGGGTCTGGGCGAGGAGTGAGAAGGGTCGAGTCGAAGTTGGAACGGAGGACAGGAGCAGGCTGGCTGGGCTCACGTCTTGGCGGCAGTCTACCTGCTGCCACCAGATCCCTATAGCGGGCGCTGTCTCTAAAAACTGGAGGGGCCGAGAGTGTCTCTCGGCTCAAAACTGCTGGCATTAGTCTAATGTGCCGTCGTGGCGCTGTGTCTTCCTCATCTGGCACCAACTCGAGGATCGGTGCCTCTTCTCTCAGCTCTTCGTGTAGACTAGCTTCGTGAGGCCTCGCTGCAGCGGGCCCCTGGGTGCTCCCCCCAGCTTGCGCTGGCCCCCCTCCCTCTTGATCTCCTTGATCAGGACCTCCCGTGCGGCCCGCAAGTCGGGCACGTGCAAGTCGAAGGAAAAGATCAGCCGCGCTTTCTCCTTGCTCTGCTTCGGCTGCTTGTTCGTCTTCGCCTGGTAGTGTTTGACGCACGTGCCCAGCATCTCTGGGTCCTCCAGGCACACCACCTTCTTCCAGAACTCTCCTAGGATGGCCTTGTCGTCTGGCGGGACCACCTCTGCTATGTTCTTGATCACCGCCGCGATGACGACGAGGTGCGGCGGGCCCAGCGCTGCGAGGCCGACATTGGAGTCGCTCGCGTGCTGCTCTTTCAGTTTCTGCACGTCGTCGTTGTACTGCTTGCCCGCCTGCGTCGAGATGGCCGCCATGGGCTTGTCGGCGTCGAGCTCCCAGCACTCGTAGACCACCGCCTTCATGTCCTCCACGTCCTTGGCCACGGTGAGCGAGAGCTTGGCCGTCATGACCGCCATCTCCTCCAGGCGCTCGTAGTCCTTGTCGCGGCCGCTGCCCTTGCCCTTGGTCCTGGACTCCTTGGCCGCACGCGTCGCGCCCCTGTCCACCTGGAGCGTGCGCTTGCCCGCCCACGCTGGTGCCATCTCGAAGTCGTTGGTCGAGGCCGCCGCCGCTGCCCCAGCCGCTGGCGCCGCGTCGGGCGCAGCCCTCTGGTCGGGCCTGGGTCGCAGTCGGGCGGGCGCAGGGGCCCGTCGGAGCAGCTGACTGAAGAACTGCTCTGGGGAAATGGCTACGGAGGTGCTCGTAGAGACGTTGTTTGTCGTTATCTGCATATCCA